ATTTAAGTTAATTAATATACTAACTATTTTTATAAAACTTATAAATAATATATTATTACAATATTTGAATAATTGTTATATATATTATTTAAATAATATCTTAGTATATTTAAATAATAAAATCTAATATATTAAGGATATTAGTAATATTCTTAAAAATTTAGTTAAAACCGATTTACTATATAAACTAAACAAATATAAATTCTATATAATAGAAATAGAATTTCTAGGATTTATTATATCAAATTAAGAATTCAAAATAAACAAGAATAAAGTTAAGGTAATATTTAAATAAAAGTAGTTAAATATAATTAAAAAAGTATAATTCTTTTTGGAATTTGTTAATTTCTATTAAAAATTTATTAAAAATTATTCAGAAATTTTAATACTCTTAATTAATTTAATCAAAAAAGATCAAGGAAATTTTAAATAGATTATTAAAATACAAAAAGTATTCGATATATTAAAACAAATAGTAACAAAAAAGTTAATATTATTAATATTCGATTTTAAAAAACAAATTATAATAAAAATAGATTTTTTAGATTTCACTATAGAAATAGTTTTAAATTAATTAGATTAAAATAAGAAATAATAATTAATTATATTTTATTCTTAAAAACTATTATTAGTCAAATTAAATTATAAGATATATAATAAGGAATTATTAGTAATAATTAATATATTTAAAGAATAATAAGTTTATTTAAAAGAATCAAAATATATAATATAGGTATATACAGATTATAAGAATTTGATTTATTTTATTATAATAAAATAATTAAATAAACAATAGATTAGATAATTAGAGATTATAATTAATTACAATTTTAAGATTTTATATATCAAAAAATCAGAAAATACTAGAGCTAATACTTTTAACCAAAAACCAGAATATCAAACGAATAAATTATATAAATTATATATTATATTCAAAAAAAAAAGCGAATTATTAGTTTATAATATATTATAACTTATAGTTACCTATATATTAGAAAATAATTATTTAAAAAACAAAATCTAATTATATTACAAAAACAATACTATAATAATACATATATTTAAAGTAATAGAATTAGAATTTATAATAAAAAATAATATAATATATTTTTATGGGAAAGTATATATTTCTAATTAAATAATTAAGAAATTCGTAATAGAATAATATGGATTATTTGTATATAGATATTAGGGAATTATAAGAATATTTATAAGAATACAGAAAATCAATTATTTTTTATAAATAAGAATAATAATTAAAGAAGTTATTAGAAATTGTAATATCTATATATAAAATAAATCCTTTAGATACACTTTGTATAATTAGCTTCAAACTCTAAATATACTTTTTCAATTATAAAAGTTCATTATATAGGATTTTATTATCAAACTATTATTCTTAAAAGACTTTATTATAGAAATTGAATATAATATAATATTTAATATAATAAATAGATTAACAAAATTTGTATATATAATATTATTCAAAGAAATATAAATTATTAAGTAATTAATATATATATTTTTTAAAGTTATAATAAGTATATATAAAATATTAAATAAAATAATCTTAAATAGAAATAAGTTCTTTATTTTGAAATTCTGGATTATTTTATTAATATTAATAGGTATTAAAAGAAAACTATTAATAACTTTTTATTTATAAATAAATAATCAAATAAAAAGAATTAATTAAATAATAAAAATATATTTTAGATATTATATAAATTATTAATAAAATAATTAGATAGAATTATTATTTATGATATAATTTATATATAATATATCAGAAATGAAAACTATAAAGATAATATTAGTATATACTAACTTTAAGTTTAATTCTAAGATATATCAAATATTGATGTTATAAGAAATCAATACTGAATTAATAATAATATAAATCGAATAATTAAAAGATTTACAAAAGTAATTTGCTTTTGATTTAAGATTTATATTATTCAGAATAGTAGTTTATTATAATACAAAATATAGTATAGAATTTATATTTAAAAAGGGGAATAAAATTTATTTATTATAATAAAATATTGAAATTAAAAGATTAAATAATAAACTCAATTATAGGAAACTAGGATTATTCAAAATTGATAAGGTAATTGGAATTATTAATTATTAGTTAAAACTATTAAATATAATAAATATCCACTTAGTATTCTATATATCCTTATTCGAATTAATATTATTAGGAGTATTGAATATATTATTTATAGAAATTGAATTAGTTAATCTAAATACTATATATAATATTGAGATAATATTAGATTGTAAATATATTAAAGGTATAATTAAGTATTTGATTAAATAATTAAATTATTTATATATTGAAAATTTATAGAAATCAAGAATAAATCTTAATTGTTTTAAGAAATTGGAAATGTTTTATTAGTAATATCTAGATTTGTTTAGAAAGAAGGAGAATTTATTGAAGTTAGAAGTAAAGGATTTAAAAAGAAAGAATTGAAAGCAAAAGAATTATTATTAGGATTAGTAATAAAGATAGATACTATTTCCTTTTCTTTTTTAATATGTTTTTTCTCTAATCTTTTCTTTTCTTTTAAAGTATTAAGTTTATTTAGGGATTTGAGTTTATGATGAAGCATTTTATAATTATATTTATATAATTTTTGTTATTTTAGTTTAAGGGTATGAATATGAGCAAAACCTAATATTATAATTTCAAAAGCAGTATTTCTTTTAAATTGAAGATATTCTTTTTTTAGATAAAGGTTTTTTAGATTGTTTATAGAGGCCTGAATAATATTATAATAAGCCCTATAACAAATATATTTATTATAGTATTGTAAGCAATCATTTAATACTATACAATAATAATTATATTAAGAACAATTAAAATAAGATATATTATTGGAATTGTAAGTTTAAATTATTTTAGAAAGAAAAATGTATTGTTTGTATTTGGAAATCTTAATGATTGAGGGTAGTATATTGAATATGATTATTAGAATATTGTTATAAAAAATAGTTATTAATAAGAATATTTGGAATAAGTATTAAGCTAAAAAAGGGGATAGTGTTATAGTGGGTAATAATATATTATATGATAAATGTTATATAATAGAGTTTTTGGAGCTTAGAATTTAAGGACTTAGGAGTTTTGAAATCTAGAATCCAGGAGGGTTTTAAATAAAATAAAATCTTGGGTTTTGTAGAAAACGAAAATCTATATAAGGAATAGGATTTCATTATAATATAAAGCTTTATATTTAAAAATAATTATTAGTTTTATTATTATAATTACAAGAATTATAACTAATTATAATCTTATTGAATTCCTATTTAAAGTTTAGTTTAAACTATTTCGAGAGATCTTTAGCCACTTTCACATAACCCTAGAGACAGCTCCCGTGACATTATATTAAACTATATATGTTAACTTGAGTATATTAACAGAAATACAAGTCTTATAATGAATTGTATTCGAATAGTTAAAGATTTTTATTTCAGAAATACATATATCAAATTTTTATTCTTTGAAAAATTATCAATTGTGTGATCTAGAATGGAAATTCTTTTTAGTATTTCTCGTTAACTTTATTATTTATATAGAGCTAAGATTTAATTAATTAATATTTAAGTTTTCTATTCTAAAAATATACAAAAAAAAAATGAACTTGAAACTTGTAATTACTCATCAAATTCAAGATGTAAAGAAGTGGATTTTTGATAGGTTTTATAACATTTCGAAAGAATTTTAGATTAAAAAAATAAGCGAGTCCTAGTGTGAAACTGAGACTGATCAAGTTTATATAGTCAACGATTACAAGTCAGTTTAGAAGCCGTAGAACTGAAATCTCTCTTGACTCCAAATGTACAAAAACATCACTTAAAGTAACCTTTAATATCAAAGCAATTTCTTCTTTCTACCTTGAAATTTCTTTCCACAAAGTCAAAATTCCTCACACTTATCGTGACTTCTGCGCAAGATAGCAACCCCTCACAAGAAATCACAAAAAGTATGGATCCAAATATCTTATCACCGTCTAACAATTCCTCACCATCCAATAATGCCTCACCTCCTCTTCTTCCAATTTCATGAGACTCGGGAGATTTCGTCCCGATGAATAGAGAAGGCGAAATGTTCTTCCTCCTGAATTGCGATGATCAGCTATAAATCGAAAAAGTTTCTTGGTATCATTCATGGCGGGAAGAGTGTGATTTTAATGCTTTTTCAGAGGTATAGTGATTCCTTTTTATGTACTGATTAGGGGAAGGCGGAAGGAGCCAGCCGATTCTTTTTAATAGAAAAGCAGTCATCTCCTACGAATGGGGGTTCCCATTTTCTACCCGAGGGCACATTTTACAAAATAAGAGCAAATTTGAGAAAAATATCTGGGAGTGGTTGTTTGGTACAAGACGAGATTCATTTAAGAGTCTCTTCAAGAAAGAGGATGTTAAAGTTTGGTGGGAGTATAGGATGAGACGTGCTTTTATGAGTAGATCTTATGGCTGGAAAGATATCCCTGAAGTTGGTATATGTGATGGTATGGCGATAACACAGTTCTTTTGGAGAAAAGCAGTGGTTGAAGAAAGATGCGATTGTGTTGAAGCTGCGGGATTAATAGCGAAAGCCAGCTTACACTTGTTCACAAACGTGGTACCTATGGCCAAAGTCATTCAAGATTGGTCAAAGAATTCAAATCGGGATGAAAGTATCCAGTAAAGATAGGAAATAAGATGCGTTGATTTACAAAAATACAAGATGCAACATATCATAGCATTGTTATTTTTGACCACTAGGCCATGTTTCTCTAAGCCTGATGAGTATTATGCCTAAACACACAGCAAAGTTCTCAGATAATAGCAACTTTGCAACCAAGTTTAAGACACCAAGCATGTGGATCTATCGAGTTTATTGTTAAGTTAGTCCAAAATCATGAGCCAGAGTCTGTAGTCACGACCCAGAAGACAACTGAGAAATTGTACTCCAGTGACAAGATTAGGTCCTGTCTCGTGAGTTATAATTACTCATTAACATACTTATCATAAACAGAAGAATAAAACCTCTTTCCCGCATCTCTATGACTCCGAACCTTTGTTCTCAATTGAGATTCTCCCCAAGTATCATACTTTCCACTCAAAAATGGTGAGTCTATACTCTTACCACTTTCAGATTCTTTCGTCCCTTGCCCCTCTAATTGTGGCCATAAATCTTCAAAATCTTTTTTCGTAGCATCCCCACGTACACCTTGAAAAAAAGGAATACTATATCTATCATACTCACTAGATAATACTCTATGTATTGTAGCCGGACATAAACCATTAGTAGCTACTTCAAAAGCTTGTCCGATATTAACAACAAATGTTCCGGGGATGTTCGGTACATCAATCCATATTCCTGCTCGATTCATAGCTTGAAGACCACGGATATGAGGAGGAGAAGCTTGGAGAAGAAAGGTCCACCATCCCGATGAATCTTTATGCGGCCCTACACCTTGATCTTTGTTGGGTGAGGTAATAGGACTATAATGTACGACTTTCAAGCGGTGTTGAGGTGAAAGAAAGGAGTGAAAGGATGATGGAGGAATGTTTAACGCTTCCGCGACGAGTGCGAGAAACCCTTCAGAAAGTTCAAACAATGCTTGAATATACGCTTCGATAATAGTACGAATTGACGGAAGAGACGAAGGCCACTATCATAAATAATATTAAAAATATGCATCAGCATCTCCATACACGTGATATTCACCTGATTTGGCCCCAGCAGTTTTTTATAGATTGGATCTCCTTCAACCCATGCAGACTCCAATTCCGTCGCGAACTCAAATTGTTCCCTTTGATCTGATACTTGAGCAGTAGTCTCTGCTCCCATACCACTATATCCTAGAAAATGTGGTGACCTTTCCAAGGCTATCGAATTCTTTTCCACGTCAGGAAGCGCAAATAAACTTGGTAGGGTATTCACAAGTTCATCTACAGTATCCTTGGGAACGCCATGGTTTTTTATATAGAGAAACCCCACGTTTAATAGAACATGTTTGAGCTCTTTCAAAAGTTGTGGTTTTGTGGATGCATCACCTGCTAGACTTAGGTCCAAGATGGGTATTTCCGAGAAGTTGGTTGACATAATTTAATCAGAATAAGATAAACAGGTTTTTGAGAGCATAGTCAACATATGAAGTTAAGAGTCCTCGGGAAGTACAGATTTTAGTGGTGGATGATATTAAATACAGGAAGAGATATGCGTGAGAGCACGCAATTGTGATAAGTCCAGGTACAGACTGTCTTGGAAGGTGGAAGCGCAGGAAGGCTAATCTTGCCGATAGTGGTCCTCTCGACAAAACTTTCCGTCTCAAATGTAAACGTGACTTTGAGATATTTCAATAGCACCAGCATTTGATACTCATTCAATGACCATAAAAATCACCACACTATCATCCTAGATAGTTCTATTATTTTATCACGGCATTCTATATCCATTCTAAACATTTTGCCACTATACAAAACCTCGTGAAATTGCATGTAACGGGAAGATTGAGGTCGCGAACTGAGAGCGGGGTCAACGTTTTGAGTTCGAGCGGGCGAAGATTCAAAGAGAGAGTGAGGGAGATAGTGTGGGAGGATATTCTGTGTAAAGAATCATTTCGATATCTTCATGTTCATCCATTTATCCTTCACGTCGAAGATCAGATAAAAACTTTGGATGCTGGGATGTGAATTGTCGTTTGACTTGAGGCTTCATGGGCGATGAATTGCTCAGCATTCATAAAAATCAAAATCATCGCAATTCTTACCTACAGAACCGTGGAAGGGAAATGAAAATGCCCCTATGGCAAGACAAACTCGTTCATCCATTAATTCATTCTGGTTCGCATAACAAGCACCATTTCCCTAACAATCCACTAATCACGTCCTTCCACTACCAGGGAATCACATCCCCCTTCCACGAAACAAAGCTTCCAGAATTAGTTTCCCTACTCGCTACATCGATCTACACACGCGCATCAAGCATTAGCAATTATCCAGAAATTCTTTGAAATTCCCTCATATTTCATCCATCCTCCATCTAAAGAAAGAAATCACATACCTGTCCCATCACACCACTCACACTCTCTTCCAAACTCATCGGCGGTTCTTTCACCCCCAGACTATCCGCAAAAGCTTGTCCATTATCAGTTTTAACCCATCTATATTTCGATTAAAAGATCCTATAATTAGCCCATGATCTATCCATAAATCTCTTTTTGATCTCATCTCTCTCGAACCCTCTTCATCCACCCCTCATTTGTGCCCAACCCTCCAAAAAGATAAAAACAAAAAACATACCCCGGATGCACCGCAACACTCACAACTCCACTCCCCTCCTCCTCAAAATGCAGCTTCCTCACAAAATAATTCCCCGCCGCCTTACTAATCCCATACGCAATCGACGGCGTCTCATCTTCCATTCCACCAATCGAACCCAGGTAACTAGAAACATAAATAACTTTCTTCTGTATTCTCTTCTCTCCCCCTTCTTCAGAAGCAGAAGAAGCAAGCAAAAGAGGTCTCAAAACCTGATAAATCCGAATCGGCCACACCGTATTAATGTGAAAGTGAGCCTGCAGTTCCTGCACACTCGTCTCTTTCACACTTTCGAAACTTGTTGCCGCGCCGGCATTTAAGATCAAGGTATCGATTTTCCCTACTCCTTCATTTTTTAATCTCTCTACTAAATCACCAACAGTATTCTTTCTCTCTTTCTCATCTCCAATATCCGAAGAAAGAGTAACGATAACAAGTCTCGAGCCTCGCGCTTTGAAAAGCCCTTCCAGCCCAGATGAATCGGTAGAAGTCGTGCGTTTGGTAGCGATAACTATTGTATTTTCGCGCTGGAGAAGTGTACGGGTTAATTGCAGTCCGATTCCTATTTTTATTCCTTTGTTAGTATTTCCATCTTTATTTCCATTCCCGTCTTCACCATCATATATATATCTATATCTACATCCGAATCCAAGTCATCCACCAAAATCCCAGCACCTCAAATCCATCACCACCCCTCAGAAAGAAATGTGGAAACCCCTAAGCGAAACCCCGCACCTCAAAAAAGGGGCCCCCTTTTTCTCTTCCCCTCCTTTCCCTCCCACAACCAAATAACACATACAAACACAAATACACACCTTTATTCCCCCCCGTAATAAAATAAACCATACAATCCTGCATTTCGAAGCTCAAATTTAATGCAATACCCAAAAATGCGCAATAGTATAATATCGAGGATTGGAAAATGAAATTCGGGCTTCAATGATTCTGTTTCGTTCGATTTTGTTGAGGGAATGAATTGATAAAATAAAGAGGCGAGATGTGCGAATGAGCGATTTATATGTAAACATGCGGAAAAAGTTGAATAAGCACTATTTTAAACGAGAAGATGATTGGATGAAGAATTGTTCAGAGGAGTGGAAGAGTGGATGGGGATTTTCTTTTGGGGAAGGAGGATAGAATTGTGTGATGGATGGATTTGTTCGTACTGTGGAGACTCTTACTGGTAATTGTTTGAATAAATCTAGTGGTGCGATGTAAAAATATTGTTTATAAATAAGTTTGATGTATAATATATCCTCTAAACAAAGGAGTATATTCATAAAAAGTGCCAACACCAAAAAGAAAAGTATCAAATCTCCCAGAACAACTCATTCGTCACTCCACGAGAAGCAAAGCGTGCGAGCTTCCTTGCACCGAGAAAACCCACCATGATGGTATAACACCGCTGAAGTTTCTCCCCATTATTTCGAATCAATCTCAAGTGCTTTATGCACACCATCACTATCCCCGACATGAATACCATTCAAAACATTCCTCCCATCATCAGAATCTACTTCAGATTGACCATAAAGCCCAGCTTGAGGTCCTTTGTAATTCCCACCTTTAACTAACCACCAAATGCCCGCCGCAATAGATAAAGCTCCCGCAATAAGACATGAATAATTCATACTGGCAGCATTGAAAGGCATTGCATAAGGAAAACAATAAATAACCACAAACACAATAATATAGAGACAACTAACAATATTGACAGTATAACCCACAATATCATTCATCTGAAACCAGCCAGGAATCATTCTATTATTGTAAGGACCAGATTCTTGAGAAGAACGATTGAAGCGACCCGTGAAAATGAATGGGAGAATTGATGCCAAGTAAGAAAGAGTAAGAAGAACGACGAAAGAACCGACGAAAGCATTGAATGCTGTTGATGAACCGACATATATAACGCCTAGTATGGTACTGCATATACCACAAGCGATGGTTGCGTTGAGAGGATTTTTGTGGTGTGGATGAATTACGTGTAGCCAATTTGAGAAAGGAACTGCTTCATCACGAGCAAGAGTCCAAAGACATCTTCCCGCAGTTATATACGTTCCAATGAGGGTACAGAAGATTGGAAAGAATATAACGAAAAGGAGACCGGTTGTTCCGGCAATAGTACCGGTGGCTTGTAGATATATTTGAGTAAGTGGAAAAAATGGTGCAGCCAATACAGCATCGAGATCGGTAGTTGCGTAGACTGGAGAAGAATTAGTATCTCGCAGAAGAAGAGGAAATTCAGTACGGAGGAAAACTATGAAACACGAGAGACAAGAGACAAAAGAGGGAAAACTTACAAATAGTGATCGTATATAAAAATGCTGTGATAAAACCAATACTCATTTGAGCCCCAATTGCAAGTGGTATATTTTTCCTAGGATTTGGAATTTCTTCTGCCAAATGAGAAACACAATCAGGTGTACCAACAGCGTAAGCTCCATTTAACATTCCTGCAAGGAAAACAAATCCATTACTGGAATAGCCGGTATCATTGGCCCAGTCTGCCCAAACAAAAGAATGAGTAGCATGCCCAGTACCAGATGGCATAATAGCACAAACTATGATTGTGATACTGGATGCAAAAAATTAGGCAATCATTACAACAAGTACTTGAATGATGAAAACTTACAAAACACCACCCAAGATAAAAGCAAGTCCAATATTATTGATCATTGGAAGAGCACGATTAGCGAATAAGACTATACAACAAGCAATCCAAGTTATGATAATGTAACCGATGAAAATATGCCATCTAGCCACTACATAGTCAGGATGATAAAGACCATATATTGCAACTACAACATTTGAAGCAATAGATGACATTGTAGCTATTGATTGTTAGATATGTCTTGAAAATTGATGGGATTAAATTTACCTGCACCACAAATCCAAGCAAACGTATTCCACCAACCAGCAAACCAACCACAAATTTTACCATATTTTGGACCGGGAGTAATTGATGCCCAATGATAAACTCCAGCACTACTTGGCATTGATGAAGCTAATTCGGCTAAAGAAGCTGCAACGAGCCAATAAAAAATTGATACAGCAATGAATTCATATAAAACACCTGGTGGACCTCCATTACTATTAATATGTCAGTCTTAGTTTTCCATTCTTATGGAGATAATAACTTACTAAATAGCTGTAGCAATACTACCACCTAAAGCAGCCCATGTATTCCCAGTAACGAGACCAACTGAACATATAGAAAGTAAAGAGAAGTTTCGTTCAACTTCTTGAACATGTCCTGTTTCATTGACTTCCGCTAATTGAGAATGACTCTCTCCATCGGCTATAGCTACTTTTTCCGATTTGTATGTTGACGGGTTAGGTGAAAAATTCCGAAGTGATGGGGACCTTTTATCAATCATAGTTTGTTCCATCTTGATGGACCGTGGCGAGTGGGTAAATGGTATATCAGATCTAAAGGAAAGCCTTATTGTCGAATCTCATCAACGATGAATTTATGGCGGACTTGTAGTGAACTTGTGATGAACTGGTGGTAAACTCGACGTAGATACAATGATTATTTAGAATTAAAGATAAGATAGATTAACTAGTATCAAGTAGATATTGAGTGAGATCAATAAGGGGAAGGAGACAAGAGAAGAACAGCCGGCTCAGATGAAAATAGTATGATAAGAATGAAGGTATTTGAGGTTTACTTTGTATGTTTCCCAAGACTGTACCCCCATCTTCAATATCTTATCCATGATATCAAACAACATAAGTTAAGAGTATTCTGTACTATTATCAGTAACGGTAGTACATGAGGAAAGTCCCATATCTATTCCAACCTATCAGCCTCGGTAGACATAGCCATATTAAACGGATAAGACCCACTGAGATCATGTAGCTTACCGTAAAACATGTTGACCCTGCTAAGGTTGGATATGATGGATAAAAAGATCAAAATACTCCATACGGAAGTTTTTGTAGATTTTAAGAAATAAATGTATAAAGTCCCGCATCTAAATTGAGGTTAATGGTGGGGCAAGTTTGGGGTGAAGATTGACTTGCATGATGAGCATGGTTGTTGAATGGTTCAATCAAGAGAAGATCAGATCAGATCATCTTGACCCCATACCATTCATCGATAAGAGGATAAAGAGAATATCACATGGTTTCTTTGCGTAAAAGGTAAAAGTAATACAATTGATATCTCAAAAGCATTGTCAATTATCAATTTTATTGAAAACCCCTGATTAAATCATATCGTGTTACTTGTCTGAGTGTAACCATTTGGCCAGCTTAACGGAAAGGTACTGATTGGAAAATCATTGCGCTACTCTTTTCTATTTCTGATATTGCATTGGCTATTTTTCCCTGGAGCGGACATCCGCGTAGAATTCTGTAAGTTTCCCGTTGACTTCGGACTATGAGACATCAGGTTCTACAACCTTTCATAGCATGGTACTATCGTGATCAGCTCAGATGATTCTTGGAAGATATTCCAAGTGCCGCGTTTTCCCCAGGTATTGTTTGATTAGAGACCTTTAGATTTGAAGAAAATTGCTTCGAGAAATATGGAACATCAATGTGCCATACTTTGAAGACATCATCACATCGCCTCTTTGGAATTCGTTCATCCATCACGGGTGGCAGTCTGAAAAGAGAAAAGGATTGTTCTACCTCAATATCATGAGATATTCCTTCTCATAGCACACCTAATATTATTGTCAAGGTGATTTGATTCTTCTTCAATCAAAAGAGTCAGTTCATTGCCAATATCCTTTGCTTCGAGTTCAATGTATCCTAAACCTTGATACCAAGGACGATTGAAAGGAAGAATTTTGTTGGTTGTGAGAGTAACTGCTTGAAATCCTTCTTCTTTTACATCTTTCATCATTCGATCCATTAAAGAATTCCCAATACCTTGCCTCTGGTTATCCTTATTGACCGAGACTTCAGCCACATGGAAATTATCATCAACCTTAAAACCTCCAAGGAATCCCACGGGTTTGTCTTGACGATCAACAGCCACCCAAAGATGATGATTCTTTAACATGGACATTAACAATGCTGAATCCAAGACGGAATCATCAACGGGAACGTTGAAACATGTGAATAGTTTAGCTGCTGATCTTTCAACGTCTGCTAGTAATGGAATATCCTCGTGTCGTGCTTCACGTATAATAGGATGACGCGATGTTGTAATCTTTGGTTGTTCATGTACTTCTGACATGGTAGCTCATCGTACCATCAAACAAACTACTATGCCTCTTGAAGATAATATATCGAAAAGTCTAGAAGGGTGGCTTATAGTCGTCAACGGTAAATGTGAGACAATTTACAATGATCGGGAAGAGTGAGACATAAGCTCGCATGAAGAGTAGGGAGCAGTACAAAGTAGTTGATGAAGATTGGTGTATTGACTTTTTGTGTAGAGTACCGATCTTATTATTAACGACTAGATGATACCAATCGATATACTCGAGTAAATGGATGGATGGATGGATGGATGGATGGATGGATGAATTGCACTTGGAATATTTAATTCAGCTGAAGAAGTAAAATAATGTTGAATAATGAGCTGAAGATTATATGAATTGTATGAGGCCGTGTCGTTCTTCGTCCTTCGTCGTTGTTCGCCTCCGTTGTTCGCCCCCAAATTAGGCTTTACTTCGCTAAAACTTTCACGATGCGGCGCAACCTCGCAACCTCGTAACCTTCACTAACAGCCTGGAAATACAGGACGACGGTGAATAAGTCAACATCGACCATTCTCTCTCGTAAGATTTCTTCTCTACTCAACTTCAACAAACTTTCGTGAAACTAATTACATTATTTAGTACTACTATATACACAATTCTCTCTTCAAACAATACGAATCTCATCGCCCTCTTACTCATCCTTCTCTTCACGACGATGGGCAAAAGATTAAAGAAAACCAATAACCCTTCCCCAATATCTCCAATCGATACCCCTCCATCTACATTTACAGATTCTCTCCTCCTTCCAAAACTTATCGTATTCGATCTCGATTACACATTATGGCCTTTCTGGGTAGATACACACGTCACACCTCCGATCAAAGCAAACTCTGAACATTCTGCGACGACCGATCGTTGGGGAGAAAGTTTTACTTTCTACAATGAAGTCCCTTCAATTCTCGCACAACTCAAAAATCATGGCATGATGGTTGGAGCCGCATCTCGCACATCTGCTCCTGATTTAGGAAGAGAAATGTTAAGATTACTGCATGTTATGGATATAGATGGGAAGAAACGGAAGGCGATTGAATACTTTGATCAACTCGAAATCTATCCTGGAAGCAAGATTACACATTTTACGAAATTACAAAAGAGTACGGGGATAGCATATAAAGATATGTTATTCTTTGATGACGAGGCAAGGAATAGGAATGTTGAATCGCTGGGAGTTAAGATGTGTCTGGTTAAAGATGGTGTTAACAAAGCAGAGATCAATCGAGGTATCAAAGAATGGAGACAAATGCATGGTCATGAAATGAAGGTATCTGGTTCGGAGGATAGGATGGAAGGTTCTTCTACTGCTGCATATAATGATGGAATGGATAATGATAATGATGAATAAATAGAAGAATACATTGGTATGGTTTGGATATCATCTGGAGTTTTGGGATAGGATTTGAGAATACATTTGAAGTAGAGCTGGAGAAGGAGGAGGGTAATCGAGGCAACGTTCATAGATGAAGAGGACGACAGTATACGAGTACGGGCAGCATGAGTAGCATCAACAGCATCAACAGCATGCGTAGGATGGACAGTATGAGTAAATATGAATATCAACGATCCAATATCATGGAAATACGGGTTTTCACGATAAAACTCATACATCCAACATCTTGACTTCCTCAAAAGCCAGCAAAGAGGAAGATGTTCAATACTCCAACATGAAATGCACATCAATACTGTTACATCTAAAACCTAGACGTTTTCCTTCTCTTACCATCGTTGCCACCTTTATCATCAATACCTTTATTGTCTTCCTCAACATGTTCCAACAATGCGATCGCCCTTTCATACCCCTGTCGGTACCTGATTGATTGATTGATTGATGACCTCATTATTCAAACTGCGATAAATCATTTTCGCGCGTCAAACTTAATCCCGCGACGCCTGACTTCGTGTTGAGTTCGTGTTAATTTGGAATTTCTACGACAGTTACAACAACTTGATCGACGTCGATACTTCTCCAGATTATGTTTCGGTGACAGATAAATATGCCTCCATTCCTTCCGCGCAAACGTTTACGCTCATCATCTCCAGAGCCAGATTCCCAGCCAGGTCCATCAAAGCAACAGAATAAAGGCAAAAAAAGTAAATCATCAAAAGCCACTCCACGAAAAGCTACATTGTTTGATGATTTGGATGCTGGAGCCAAAAGTCCTGAGGATACCAAGGCGATTTTACGCAAAATCCAAGCTACAGATGAGGATGATGAAAGTTCCTTATCGTCCCTGTCCGATGACGAATTCGAGGATGTTCCAAATACGAATAGACAACCCAACGATGATGCGACGGAGGATGAGGATGAAGACGAAGACGAAGATATTGAATTCGAAGATGTCGATACAAATATAACTGATAAACCATCTGCGAATATACCTACTGGTGATCTCGAACTTACATTGACGAAAGAAACGAGGATATCACTCACAAATCCATTGGGGACGAAGAAAGGACCTAGTAAAATTGAGAGGGGTATAAGAATGGCTACACATCAAGTCCATGTTCAAATGTTAATGTGGCATAATGCGATCAGAAATTCTTGGCTTTGTGATAAAGAATTACAAGATATTTTGGTGGGAAAATTGCCGGAAACAATTTTGCGGGAGATTGAAAAATGGAGGAAGGATAGTGGTTTACAAAGCAAGGTGGATGATACTCCAAAGTCGAAGGGGAAAGGAAAAGGAAAGGTCACAAAAGGAAAGAAGGTCGATATCAGAAGTCAACGAGATTGGGGACAACCTGCAGAAAGACAAGAGGCTGGTGAAATCAATATGAGTCGTGGGGATCCTATGTTTCGACTTTTAAAGTTATTGATACATTATTGGAAGCAAAGGTTTAGAATCGTCGCACCAGGTTTACGAAAAATTGGTTATATGTCTCTCGAAAGACTCGATCAAGAATCGAAGAGTTTCCAGAAAGATGAACATGATTTTGAACGACATGGCGAAAGGATAATTAATATACATGAATTTAGAAAATGTGCTAAATCTTTGGAAGGAAGTCGAGATGTTGGTGCTCAACTATTCACAGCATTATTGAGGGGAATTGGTATTGAATCAAGAATGATTGCTAGTCTTCAACCTGTAGGATTCGGTTGGAATAAGAATGAGGATGCTATAGAGAAGAAGGATAAGAAGAGAAATGAACCTATTCCAGAGGATGATACATCGGATACTGAGAGTAGTGAAGAAGAGAAGCATGTCTCGAAGCCTAATTCAAAGTCTACCACAACACCTACCACCAAACCTACAGCAAAGCCTCCCCCCAAATCCTCGAAGAAACTAAACGGCACGGGGAAATCCACTCTGGTTCCAAATAACCCCAGCAAATCTACCAATAATTCGGCAAGAAGAAGTTCACGCGGAAATGGACTTAAAGATGCTCCAATTGATTTGTCAGATTCCGAAGAAGTTTCCATGGTCAATAATGAAGAAGACGATGATGAGTCTGTGGTTGATACTACTCCAGCCAAAACCCGTATACAACCTTCAAAACCTTACGACAAAGATCTTTTGTTTCCACATTATTGGACAGAAGTTTTATCACCAATCACAAATACATATACACCTATTGATCCACTCGTTCTTAGTGTTATTGCGACTAATCCTGAACTTCTTCAAAAGTTTGAACCTCGCGGTGCAAAAGCTGATAAAGCCAAACAAGTTACTGCTTATATCATTGGACATTCATCAGATGGTACGGCTAAAGATGTTACTGTACGATATTTAAAAGGTCATACGTTACCTGGCCGAACAAAAGGCAATCGAATTCCAATTGAGAAAATTCCGGTTTACAATTCTCAAGGCAAAATCAAACGTTATGATCAATATGATTGGTTTAAAACCGTCATGAGTGGTTATGTTAGAGGAAGTAATTTCAAACGTCCAAGGACGGAAATCGATGATCATGAAGAAGCTACTGATCTTAAAGCTATTCAACCTAAGAAAAAAGAAGTAAAAGAAGGAGAAGAAACTCTGCAATCTTATAAATCCTCTACAGAATTTGTTTTGGAAAGACATCTTAGAAGAGAAGAGGCTATTCTTGATACAGCAAAACATGTAAAAATGTTTACTGTAAAAGCAAAAGGCGATAATCCAACAGAAGAGAAAGTTTTCCTTCGAAAAGATGTCGTCAGTTGTAAAAGTTTAGAAACATGGCATAAAGAAGGTCGAGCACCTCTACCTGGTGCAATACCAAGAAAACGTGTACCATATCGAGCAGCGACTACAAATCGAAAACGCGAACTTGCAGAAGCAGAATTGGAAAGTGGAGAAAAAATGTTACAAGGTCTTTATAGTCGTGATCAAACTGATTGGATTATTCCTCCACCAATTGAGAATGGTGTAATACCGAAAAATAATTATGGAAATATGGATGTTTATGTTCCAAGTATGGTACCAGTTGGTGCAGTTCATATTCCTAGAAGAGGCACAAAAAGAATTTGTACACGATTAGGTATTGATTATGCGGAAGCTGTTACTGGATTTGAATTTGGTGCTAGAATGGCTATACCTATTATTACTGGTGTTGTGGTTGCCGAGGAGAATTTCGATCTTGTTATGGAAGAATGGGAAAAGGATGAAGCGGAAAGAGTTAGAAAAGAAGATGAGAAGAAAACTAAAGCAGCGATTGGGATGTGGAGGAAGATGTTAATGGGACTTCGAATTATTGAAAGAATGACGGATGAATATGGACATGGTGGAGAAGAAGTTGATGCGGTTAATCCGTTTAATAATAAAAACAAGAAAGGAAAGGAGGTTGATGGAGATCCAGAATTGGAGGAGAAAGCATTGGAAATGCAACAACAAGACGAAGAAATGGCAGGTGGTTTCTTTCCTGAAGGTTACAATGAGGAAGAACCGGAAGAACATCATTCGACGAGTTTCTTTCCAGTTGTTGCTTCACAGGATGATGGAGATGGTGGTGGCTTTATAGTGGAAGATGAAGGAAAAGAGATCACTAATAGGATTAA